TTGTAAAATTTGTTTCCTTACTTGGTCATGCAGAGCCACTGTTAGGACTGATACAAAACCTCGCACTTCTGTGGGAATCTGGGAAGGGTGAAGTGTTGTAAGTGAAGATGGTTGTGGCCTTTAGCAATGGGGTTAATTAGATGCTTTCTCTAGTGTCTGTAAAAACTTGCATTGCAATATTAAAGGGATAAAGTCTGGTTTACCTGAAATCCTTTTGAGACAGGAAAACATTCTCAAAAACGCTACATGACTCAACATAATATAATGATGTTTCATTTTAAAATGGGAATAGGTTATATTTACAAAACACTGCATTTGGGGCACTAAAAATAAAGCTATGTAATGTACCTTACAAAAACCATAATTGGCTAAAAATTAAGTCCACTGCATTTTAAGTAGTACTAGCTAACTGTTGTCAAAATGCTGGGACCAGCCACTAAATTATTTGCATTGTTCTGGGGTTCTTCAGGTTAATTATGCCTATTTAATTTTCTTAAACATAAACTGTATATTCTCAGGGTTTTCCCATAGGTGAAAGACTGAGTATTGTCACAGTGATAAATCTGCTCGTTTCCTCAGATTAATTTGGAGTATGTGTTAATTAAATAATTGTTAATTTGGAGTCATAGTGTGTTATTATCTACAGTTGAATCCTAGTGACTTTTGTTTGTTTTGTTTCCTAGAATTATGCAAATCAAGCACATGTATAGATGTGTCTAATTACATTTTTGTGGAAGATGTGTGTTTCCTTGTCAGGATAATCACATCACAGTGGTTGGGTTTTTTTTCCTCTCGTGCTCTGATGTCCACATTCTCTCAGTAGTCACTTTTGCCAGTTAAAAGCTTCCTTTTTTCTCTCTTTAGTTTCTAGCTGGCTCATGGTAAAGCATTTTGTGGTGGTCTGTCTGAAGGACTATGTAACAACAAATTGTGTTGTATACAGGATGTTAAGAAGCTTCACAAGCAAATTCAGAGATGTTATGCAGAAAACCGCAAAGCATTTCATCCTGTGCAGGTATGTTTGAACAACCTGAGCACTGACTATAGCCTCATACAAAGCATATGACAAAGACAGCTGTGACCCAAATGGCAAGAATGTAGCAGAAAAAATATTTAAGCTGCTTTTGAATAAGAAAATGACTTCTATTTTAGTAAATTGACTTTTCAACCTGCATGATATAAAAATCTCTGTCTATATGAAAAAGTGATTTTTTCAAGCTGCATGATATTAAAGTTCCCGTATATATGAAAAAGTATGTGCATGCAGATGCACAGTGCCGGATACTGCTGTGCCACTAAAATACTGTTGGGACACAGCTTTATCTGTGATGAATTTAGCAAAAAAAAGTGACTGTAAGTGCATATATGTCTTTTGGATGTGTCATTATGTATGAATATGGTCATAGTACCACTTTAAGCTAAAAATAATTAAGAATTTTGACTAATAAGCGTAGAAAAAGTCTTGTACAGAGTGAAAACAGATTGGCATCTTAACATTTCAGTATTTTGTACCTCTTGTTTGTTCTTGTCAAAGTTTTACTTGACCAGCCATGGGGGTCAGTTGAAGAGCAACATGGATGAAAATGACAAAGGATGGGTGAACTGGAAGGTGAATAATTGACTATTTCTGGTTTGTTTGTTTTTAAAAAAAAAAAAAATCCCTGATCATAGTTGTTAAGTGGGTTGTTAGTTGTGAAGGACCACATCAGAGCAATAACATGTCAGAAATAATGTGGCTCTTTGTGCTTTTAATTAATTTAACTTTAATAAGCCAAAGACTGCTTGTCTTGCATCTAGATTTTATTTTTGCTTGAAGATCCCCACATATGTCCAATTTCACCTGTTTTTATTGGACAGATTCCATTTGCTGGTAGACTAATCAAGACTGCTTGATTTAGGCAGTTCTGACAGGCATCTGTCTTGACAGTGCTCTTTTTTTTTGGGGGGGGGAAAGGGGCAGAAATAAGACTTTGAAATCATTATGTGATTTTTCTTGTGTGGACCTTTGCTTCCGTCATGTTGCCTCTCAGCATTGAAGTGTTCTTCAGAGAAATAGCTTGTCTTATGGTCAAACCCATGTTGGTTTTCCTTGTGACTCTCTGTTAAACCAGTATTACAACAACCTCAAATGAAGAGCACTTTGGTAAATAAAACCAGTTCTGCTTTCAGCCTGTCTTGTGCGATAGCTGCTTTGCAAAAGCATAGCATAACTCTCTTACCAGACAGGTAATGTTAACTGAGCATTCACTTCTGATTTCGTTTTTTTTAGAAAGGTGGACTGAAATTATTTGGGTCTCTAGGAGAAATCTGGTAGCACTTGAAGGGAATCACAAGAACTTAAGGATTTGTGAAGTTCTTTTTGGGTTTAAGAAAATTTCCTGATGACTTTTACAAGTCAGTGCTGTAGGGACTGTGGATTATTTATGCAGAAGTCAGTCTGCACCGTGTTACGAACTTAAACACCAATGAGGGATATGAAGCGACTGCATGCTGCTGCATTTATTTTTGCTGGTTCCATCTTGGGTCTGAAAAGCTTGCCCAGCATTTCATCAGCTGAATGTAACTTCTTCTAACTGCCTTTTTTCGAGGATATCCAAATTAGAACAGAGCACTATAGTGAGCTAATAAAGAAAGAAGACCTAGTATATCTTACCTCAGATTCCCCGGACGTTCTCAGTGAGCTTGATGAGAAGAAAGCCTATGTGATTGGAGGACTGGTGGATCACAACCACCACAAGGTAAACTGGGGGTCCGTTTCTTTACAGCTGCACTATTATTTTTGGCACCGTATTTGATATTAATGCTGTTCATGTGTAAGCTAACAAAAATAAGTAACTGAAAAACCACTTCAAAAGAGATGCACTACGAAAAAGTTTTGAAGAAATGGGGGGAAAAACTTGTGGTAGCAGTGGCTTGTGCTCCAGAGCGCAGGCATGCTGAGCTTTTTAGGATTTTATCTTTTCATTTTAAATATAGGAATGGAATGAATAACACTGCTCAGCTTACTGAGGGCCATATTTTCAGACAGAAGGGTTTGGTTTCTGTTCATGCACTTGTGTGTGCACATGCTTGTATGTGCACGTGCCCAAATATAGATGAAGAACAGGACTTGAATCTTGAATGTCCTTTTTGAATAACGTTCCTTGTCAGGAGAACTTGGCTAAGTATCGCACAAGCCTCAGGGATCTGGTTCCATACCTGTACATGGGCTTGTGCTGTGTGGATCTGGAACCTCATAGGGAAAGCAGCTGGGAAGTTACAGCACCATTACTGCTTTTCTTCAATGACACTGCTATGTAATTTCTGGTGGCATGTTTGATATTTCAATGCTAATAAAAGGGATGGATCTTAAGGCTTACCAAATGATACTTCAGCAGTTAGTCCACAGTTAAAGGTTAGGAAGGAGCTAAAGCAGATCCTTCATATAGTCATCATGGTATAATAACTCCTTGTACAGTTGCCAGGTTTAAAAAAAATCAAACACCATTTCTGTATCCCTTATTCTTTGTCTCAAAAAATACCCAGTTACTGCAATCTGAGTAACTTGTACTTAAGCATAAACTGGCCTTTAAAATGGGCTATGGCTGACACATTCTAGAGCTGCAGCTGCATGGACAAGTGTTATTTACAATCCTTTTGACCATACATCACACTATGACATAAATTCAAAGTAGTAGGTCTCCCAAAGGCAGCCCCTGCAGCAGGTACTGTCTAACCAAAGTAAGTTTCTTTTTGTAAGTAACTTCTAAAGCAAGGTCATGGCAGCGCTGGCAAAACTCTTACCAGAAAGTGATACTTGCAGTAATATGCATGGGCTGATCTGAAATGGTGATTCTCAGTCCAGTTGTTTTGGTGTCTTTCCCACAGGGAATTACTTACAAAAAAGCTGTAGAGCAGGGAATTGGTCATGCACAGCTCCCACTTGGAAACTTTGTCAAGATGAACAGTCGGAAAGTGTTAGCTGTTAATCATGGTAAGTTTTAAATGACAAAATAATTATATTATACCTGTGATATTCAGAATTTGAACCTTCAAAATGTGCACTGTAGTGCAGATACCTAGTTCTTGTTTTCTGTTACTGTTCCTTGAATCTGGTTGCCTTTGGGATACAGTAATTGCCCTGACCTGTAAATATTTTAGATATATTTGAATGTAAAGGGTGGTGTCTTAGCCACTTAGAAGCATTCCTGTTCTGATGACTTGACCTATGAGTAATTTGTTTCCAGGCTTAATATGTAAGTGGGTAAAATGTTGGAAACTAGCCCATGTATTTATCCCAGGGGAGGTTAAATGTATCTGATGTTTGCACCTTTCAACAGCTTTGTTCAGTAGTTATTGCTTAGGTACCTGCAGACTCACCTCATTTGGCATCAGCAGAACCCCATTCGCTGAGCTTTCATAACTGTATTTTTACCTGCTTTCCTGGTTCTAATTGAAGTATACAATTGCTTAACCAAGTCTTGGATCCTACTCCTTTTAAACTTTCAGTTTTATTCTTAGATTATTTTTCAGTGTCATTAAACATAAATGCATGCAAAGTGGAGCCTACTCAGACCTTTATGGAAATTTTTGACTTGGTGTCCAAGTCTTTATTTTAGCTCACTTCAGGTTCTTTTATTTTATCTTACCTTGCTGTATTTCAGGTTCATTTGATTATGTAACACGTTGCTCGATGATAACTTTATTTTCTTAAACTCCCATTGATAGATGAGGGGTGTATTTGCATGATAATGAAGATTATTTAAATGTGGAAGAGAATATAATATATCACTAGAATTAAAAATTATCAAATCCTATATAAGATTTTGTTTCCACAACTTGATTTTTAAATGTTGATTTACACAGACAAGAATAGGACTTTGTGTTATGTGATGATAGCTGTAGCTTTCTACTGGAGTTTTTCTGCAATAATCTTATACTGACCTCTAGTGTCAATATTTCTGGAGGCTGTCTTCTACATGTCTGAGCACTGGGTATAAATTGGATCACTTATATTGGCTTTCATTTATCTGCTCTATGGTCTTCTGCATGTTTCTCATGACAGACTTCTAGGCACTGATTCCACTGCAGTTTAGTTGCTGAGATTTCATTTTGTGTGAGCTCATCTGTCCTTGTCCTTCTAAAACACTTTCAAATTGCAGCTGAAAGGCTCTTAATGCACAGACCTTTTTTTAGGTACAAATTACACTATAGGAGTATCCTGCTTAAGATTTTTGGGCAGGTAAATAAACGCCTTTCTACCACCTCCAAAAGGAGAGGTACCTTTAACAGTTGTAATTACAGCTCTGGAGTATATTCTAACCCTAATAGCTAAAACCCTAAATCTAAACAGACAGCTTTCATGGAAGATGCTACTTGGCATGAGTAAGATGAACAGAATCAAGCTGCCTCTCAAATCTGGTGTTATAAATTTTGCGTAGGTGAGAAGATTTGCACTGAGGTTTTTGTATTTTGCTGTGAATACATCCACTTCACTGTTTTGTGTAACGGTGTAATTGCTCCCCTTTCTGTTTTGATTTTGTTATTTTGGCCTCTGAATTCCCATGCTTGGTGCAGAAGCTGAAGCTGGCAGAGTATAGTATGGGACTCACCAGATGGAACTGTGGGACCTGCTTGGTCTTCATGGAACTACTTTTGATAGGTGTGAACTTGGAAAGCCCAGTAGAAGAAACTCTGAACTGCCTTATCAGTCTTTGAAGTGCTTTCATTAAATGGGCCCTCTGGTGGTGGGCGATTGACAGTGTCATTAACAGCAGAATTCGCTTGTTGCTTTTTACTTACTACTTTATAATCTTTCTTGGGATTGAGACTCCTTGCAGTGCCTGCACTGCCATGTTAAAATGGCATGAGGAACTCATGTATGTGTGAAATACTTGGTGCTAGAAAACTGACAAGGTGTAAGATGAGAATTTTTTTTAAAACTCGAACTGGAATTTTAAAACTTGGGAAGATCTGAAATCTGTGTGTTGCAAAACACAACTGCAAATGTAGCTGAGAGAGTTTGTTTCCTTCTGTTCAGGTTTGTATCCCAAGGCTAATACTTTGTAATGTATATTGCAGAGACCATATTGCTCCATTCCAGTCCACAATGATGTCTTCCAACTGTTCGTGCTGTCTTTTTCTGTCCTTGCATAATATTTCTGTTGTTGTTGCAGCCCATCATAGAAGTTTCTATTCTCCTGTGGAAGCCACTCTCTCTGTCCATCAGTTCTGGTTTTACTACGCAGATAAAGTTTCAAAGCAAAAGAGAAGAAACCTGTTCCCTGTACTCTTTTCCCTTAAGTCAGCCTTTTTGCCACAGATGCTTTCTGCAGTGACTCAGTGATATTAATATAGTCCTTTGACAGCTCCTACCTTCAGAGTACGTTTCAGGTGAATAACCTGCTTAGTAAAATGGCCAGTTTTGATATCAGTGTGACAGAGAGCAGCTGGATGTCCAGGCAACCTGGATCCAGGGAACCTCTAGTAAATGTGACACTTTTTTGGTAACTTGACTCTGTGAGTATATGACCCATGCTGCTCCTCCCTTTCTGAATGCCTGCCTAACTCTCTGTAAGGTTTTTTTCCCTCCACAGTTCCTTTGATCCTTTCTCATGTGCTGTTGCTTGGCATCAAGAAGGCTTGTGCTGGGTGCGTTCTTTGAAGTCAGCATTCTCCAGTGGTGTTAGCACTATTCCTGTAGCCCCAAGCTTGAGGAGCCATCCCTATGTCCCAGATTGTCATCCAAGTCTGGCTTACTCACCAGTCATAGGGCCTCCTCCTGCCTTTCCTGCTGCTGCCAAGCCACAGTCTATGTTGAGAGGTTTTTTTGGATAGCCTGGGATATTTGTGAATAAGAATTTGCTGATGAATTTTGCATATAATGCAATTTGGAGCTATTGTCCATCAGGGAAAGTTTTGGGAGCTGAAACAGGAGTAAGGTGGTATGGTAAGGAGTATGGTTAGCATAACAGAAACAGGAAGGAAGGGTCACAGAAGTGGAGACTGATAAAGATTTTGGCCATAAGCTCAGATGGAAATGAAAGAGAAAGATAACTGTAGCAGGTTTTAGGAAGACTTTTGGCTGTCCCCTTGTTAGGGAAGGAAAAAGTCATTGTTAAAGTGCATCCACAGCCATATTCCTGTCAAACTTGGGAAGGCGTTAATGTCTGTATAGAAGGCACTGGTGAGACCTGAAGCACAGGGAGGGCATTTCTCTCTGTCCCTGAGATAAATTCAAACTGGAGCTGCAGCAGAAAAGCACTGTTGTAGTAACTGAGAGAACAGAGAGTCTGCCTTACACCTGGAGACTTAAAGCGTGCTTGCCTTTAGACTGCAGCAGTAGCAGAATTGCTGTGTCTGCTTCTGCCTGTATTTCATGAGCTTTACTCTGAAGATGCCACAACTGAATGCCTTCATAAAGATGGATTTGAGAGTGCGTTCCTGTCAACAGTTCACTCCCTGTAAAGGAGCTGATGGTCTGTCTTAATGTTGCAGTGTTTGAGATCATCCTTGCATACCTGGAGAAGAGAGAATGGAAGGAAGCCTTTTTCAGTGTCTTACCACAGCGGAAAGGGGCTGTTCCTTTGGGAGAAGGTAGTGATTCACCCAAGCATGCTCTGTCTGGAAAAGATGATGAAGGCAATGACTTAGACAGCAACTAGGCTTCAGAATGAGAAGATGAGAAAGATGATACATGCAGCTCATGGGATAAAACTAGGACATGAAGTAGTTCTGCTCCAAAGACCATCTGCTGCTCTTGTGATACTGAATTGTCTCCATGCTCGGTAGTTCCACTGTTTGCCCAGAGCTGTTCCTGGATGTAAAGGGTAAAGAGAAATGCAGTTTCTTACCCTGACACTTCCATATTAATAGCTTTAAAAAAAAATAATAAATTGATGACAAATGCAGAATTTATTTTGTTTCCCAAGGAAGCTATTTAATTTTATTGGTTTTTTTAAAATTTTTATTTTTTTATACATACCAAGTTTGGTGTACTACCCAAGAGCATAAGTAGTTACTTTTTTTATGTATATGTTCTTCTCCCTTTCTGCTCTAAGGTTTCTTAAAAGCAGTGAATGACAAGTGTTCCTGTGACCTCAAAACCTGCTACCTCTAGTGCCTGTTGCAAAGTGTGCGTGAACACTCAAAACAAGTAAACAAAAAAATTCTGGTTTTCCTGAACATCTCAACAGACAATCACAAGCAACCGAGCTGCCTCTATCAGTTGAGCCACAGTGGTTTCTATTCCATGTTTAGTTACCTGGGGTCAGTTGATGAAACAAGAGTGTGGAGTTAAGACAGTGCTTTACACTTCAGCTTGAGCAGGATGGATGTCTGCAAAAGTGCAACTTGTGTGCCTTGGTTGGTACGTGATGCACCTTGATTTGAGGTGACACAATTGCTTTTGATTACTTCTTGATCCTCTTAGCAGAATTTATCACACAGCCTCCAAACTATACCAGGAGACAGGAACTCTTTCTTACAGGTCACTTATTAATTTTCAGTATACCTGTTTTATCATGTGATCCTGTGTGTATTGTATTCTCGTCATATTATTTCCTTTAAAAAAAAAAAGTCATTGTCTCAGTCTTGGCTGGATATCCTGATTCAGCTTATTTCTAACTGACTTAAGTGCTTTTGCAGAGTACTGAAATGGATGCCTTGGAAGTGTGGCATCACCCCTATGAGCTGCAGCCTCTGAACAAGTGCAGCACTCGCCTAGGTCGGCTGAAGACTGTAAGAAGATGTCATCATAACTGCTCAGAAGCTGCAGAGCTGGAATCAGAGGGCTGATCCAAGTATGACTCAGCCTGTATCCGTCTTTATTCCTGCCTCTGTTACTGCTTTCAAATGAAGACTAAAAGTGAAATCCCTACAGATCCCTATGGGGTCTGTAAAGGGTTAGCAACTAACTGGTTGCTAACTGTTTATGACTTTATACACTTACTGCATTTCTCTCTACTTTTTAAATAATAGAAAAGATTCTTCTGTTAAATGTATGGATTATGGTTTGTTGCTCGAGTAATGTGGGTTTTCTTAGGCTTTACAGAAATGGGACTGCTTTTCTTCCAGAAACAAGATAAAAGAACTGTTGTTTTTCAGTTCTGTAACAAAAAGTGCAGGAAAAGTATACTGACCATGTATTACACTGATGCTTTGATATAAATGTGTAAAACAGTGAAATTAGACAGAGTTACATCTTCACAGCTGAGGTTCTGCTTGTTAATACACAAGGCACCTATTAAACCTGATCTAAGACTCTTCATTCTCTAGGATTTTCTTAAGATCACTTTATACATGTGCCTCATTTACTCAGGATTGAGAGTGCAAGACTAGGTCACACAGACAAACTGGGGACTTTGGAGATGTTCTGAAAGGGTCCAAAAGCATCTTAAGGAATTGTTTTGTGGCTTGAAAGACAGCCTGTCTTACATCTTTACCAGTGAAATTAGATAAATGCATACACACCCATGTGCATGCACATGTTTTTAAATCAAGCTGTTTGCAGATCTGAAGCTTACCTGTTTATGGAAAAATAGATGCAAAAGATGGTCCACTATGTTGCTTTTGGGAGGCTTCTAGTGCTAACTCCACAATGTCACAGCATCTTGGTGGCTAGCGAAAGCATGACCACATGTGTTGTCATGATCACCTGGTCCTCCTGTCCTTGCTGGTGCCTTAGCCAGTAGTTGGCATTGCTGCTGTTTACCTTTTCTCTGTTTGTGCCAGCCTAATAGCATCATATGAGGCTGAAGTTCATGCCTGTTGTCATGAGCTGTCTCTACAGGATGCTGCTCTCAGGATGAGTTAACTGGTGAGATGGAGCAGTAAGCAAGACTAGACTAGGATTTCAGTGGGTATAGCCCTTTGACTGCTGCTGCAGTCCTCAGCCTTTCAGTATCCTACAGTTCTGCAGCTGTCTAGAAAAGGCTGCTCCTGGCACACCTGAGCTCATACTAGTGAGCCTCCTAACTCTTTTTCTACATGCTTTAGATGCTTGGCTGTTCATTGGTGGAATTGCCAGCACTAGGAACCACTGTGCTAAAGTGGTAATTTGCTTTCAGGCAGCAGGCTGGAGTCCTCAGGGAGAAGTGACAGTGCAAAAAGCACTGAAGGGCCATTCTTACAATGAGCTCAACGTAGAGTTATTGATGAAAACAATTGAATTGGTTGGAGCACATGAAAATTGCCTTGGTGTCAGATCAAGTGTGATAAACTGAAACACACGTGTGACAGAGTAGCTTATAAATGCAAGAGGGCTTGTGCAGCTTGTGACACCTCCAGTCCTTGCCATGATGCCACAGCTACTCATGACAGACCAGGAAGAGAGTCCTGCCTTTTCAGAGTCTTTCTGCAGTGTGAAAGTGGAGGCTGCTAGAACAGCCATTTGCTGACATCAGTGGGAAAAGCATCCCAAGCAGTCTTGGTCTCGTGCTGGTTCACTCTGATCCTGAAATACACGCTCTGATGTATTTCACGTGCTCTGTCTTTTTTTTTTTTAATATAACCCCTGACTGTCCTTGGCTGCTGCTCCAAAGAAGGGCATGGACTTCTGAAAGTGATACTTACTGCCTCTGCTGCAGCGGGCAAGTGTTTGTAAACAGTCAAGTGACCAGAAATCTGTATCAATCTGTATCCTGGGATTTGTGAGAAGTGGGAGTCTGAGCGTGCCTTTCAAGTGCATTTAATTCTAGTGAGGGACCTCTGGCCATTCATGAACACTCTGGTCGTCTATCTGGGACTACAGGTTAGTTAGTTAGGTGGAAGTTGTTGCTACAGTAGACATGAAGTGAAGACAGGGGCTCTTGGAAAGAGTTCACTGAGTTCTGCTCTGAGCTAAGCTCCTCCTTTAATGGAAGGATTTCTCTCCCTCCCCTGCAAACAGCCAGATATTTTGAATGAGCTCATCTGCACTGAATAATCTTGCTGTGGAAAGTAAGTGGAAGTAGGGTTGATTTATCACCTTTCTTTGGTTCTCTGAAAATAAACTGACAGAAGTATATTTAAAACAGACTAATGCCAATCCTGCTTTTGCAGGTCACTCACAAGGCCTGAAAAAAAGTCCAGATATTGTTTATGTCATTGGTGGCCTCCATTTCAATGGCTTGAGGTTTGCACCACCCGTATTTGGTGGAGTCCCATCCCAACTGTGTCCTGTCCCCCCCCTCCACTGGATACTACGATTTGGGAAGAGGGTTTGAGTGAGGCATTTTTG